GTAATTACGAGTTCTTCGGCAGTTGCATCCGTACACATGTAGCATTGCCAGCGCGTCATTTCTTTCATCATGGTGTAAATGCATGACCTGTTAAACTCTCAAACCACACTCATTCCGCAGACATCCATTCCGCTATCCAAAAAACCTCGAAATGGGTTCCCGCTCCTGTTGCAGGATTGGACAGTGTTTGCATGTGGGGTCTGCCATTTGGGTGGTCGGGGCATGACAAAACTATGACCCCCAATCGTCTCCCTATTTTATGGGCACTCGCTTCGACTGGATCAAAGCAAGGGAGCTGTTCCCCCAACGTTGCTTGGAAACGGGTTTGGGTACGGTTCTGGTTTGTGTTTGGCGGAGAGGATTTTTTGCGCAAGTTGCGATTGGTCACGCAACGTTTTGTGCGTTTGACGACCGCAATGACTTTAAGTGATCGTGTTGAGCCTCTTGCAACTTGCCCTACTCGTTGCACAAATGTCCACATGAGGACCATGCATAGAAGCAGACCTGGTTCTTGGACTGTCTCGGTGCTCCATATGGGTTTCAGTTTTGGGCGGCTAGTTCTACGGTGCCGATATGACTAGGCTTGGAGGATCCCACAAACACGCATTCGATAGGTGACATGACACCGACACATGCTCGATACTCGGATTGTGCGAGGAGAGCCATGAGGCTGCTGTGTGTGGCTTCTTTGATCCAGGCGTGTTGCGAAGCCCCTGAGCGTTGGAAGCAGCGCAACTAGAGCAGGTTACGTTTTCACATATCTTCACCATGCATACCCTGGTTACAATAAAAGATTGCAAAGATTGTGCTTTAGGCCTTGGGTTTGCCAGCCTTTCTGCAAGTTCAACAGACATCACCAGCAACAAAAGACTAATTTCAATTTGATTCTAATAGCGAACCTTGTTACTACTAGTAAGGCACTTGTTACTAGAAGCGATGCACTTGTTCCTAGCGAACCTTGTTACTAATAGCAACCGAAACTCTTCAACCACCTCTCCGCCCAAGTTCTCAACCGATCTTACGGTCGCAGGTGGTGGCTGGCACGGCCTTCGTCAGCCCTGGGTTGGGACACG